TCCTCCTTCATTCGACGGCTTGGTTACGGCTCTGGACAGCCGTTCAGACGACGATATTTCACTCGACGTCGTCAAGTCAAAGCTGGTGGACGAATACAACCGGCAACTGGAACGAAAAGGAGGACCGGCCAAGGTGGAAAAAGCGATGCGATCGGAGATGCGTTATCCGGAGAATAAGCCGGATGTGCGTACTTGCCACTTCTGCAAGAAGCCCGGGCATATCAAGCGGAATTGCCGAAAGTTTTTGTCGACGCTGAAGAAGGATGGGAATTCGTCCCGTTCTGATACGAATGGTCATGCCAAGGCCAAAGCTGCTCAGGGTGACGTCAGAGGTGTGGCGTTCGTCGCTGGAGAAGAAAAATCGTCCAGCTGGGTGATCGATAGCGGTGCCAGCGCGCACATGACCAACGACAGGTCGTTTTTTGGATCGTTGAGTGAATTCGCTGGTGGCTGTATCACACTGGCGGATGGTAAGAAGACGAAAATCGAAGGAGAAGGAAGCGGAGTGATCCATGGCATTGGCGCTGCTGGTAATACCGTGAAGATAGAAATGAACGATGTGAAATTCGTGCCAGGACTGTCTACCAACCTGATATCGGTCGGGAAGTTGGCTCAGAAGAGTTTTCGAATAGTTTTTCACAAAAGTGGTTGTGAAATACTCGATGCTGAAGGTGTAGTTGTTGCTACGGGAAACTGCCGAGGCGGTTTATACTATCTGCGGGTTGCAGAAGCATCGATGACTGCATCTGAAGGGGTGCATAAACTCAACTGCCAGCACCAGTGGCATCGTCGGCTCGGTCATCGTGATTGGGCTGCGGCTGAGCGGATTCTGAAAGAGGACATGGCTACTGGAATCAAGGTGAGCGAATGCGGGCTACGCCTGGTGTGCGAATGCTGCATGGAAGGTAAGTCTGCTAGGCTTCCCTTCCCCCCGGTCGTTGACCGGAAGTCCTGTCGAGTGTTGGACATTGTCCACACTGACTTATGTGGACCTATGGATAACGTCACCCCGAGTGGCAATCGGTATGTGATGACGATCACTGATGATCACAGCCGATTTACAGTCACATACCTTCTGAAACATAAATCGGAAGCAGCCGGTAATCTGAAAGATTATGTTCGATGGGTCGATAATATTTTCGGGCGCAAACCACACGTTGTGCGCTCTGATGGAGGGGGTGAATTTGATAATAAAGAGCTGCGGGCGTTTTACAAATCGGAAGGGATTCAACCGCAGTTCACGACTCCCTATTCTCCCCAACAGAACGGTGTTGCCGAACGGAAAAACAGGTCGCTGACGGAGATGGCAACGTGTATGTTGGTAGATGCTGGATTGGAGAAGCGGTACTGGGGTGAAGCTATTCTCACTGCTACGTACCTGCAGAACCGACTACCATCAAGATCGATCCCGAAGACACCGTATGAGCTGTGGTGGAGTCGTAAGCCGGACCTCAGCCATCTTCGGGTGTTTGGAAGCCACGCCTACGTGCACGTACCGGACGTCAAACGCAAGAAATTGGATAGCAAGGCGACCAAGTTAACGTTCATCGGGTATGCAGTAGACCAGAAAGGATATCGTTTCGTGGACCTGGAGACGGATCAAATCACCATAAGCCGGGACGCACGGTTCATCGAACTCGGGAATGGTACTACGACAGTGGAAGTATCGTTTCCGGTTGCAAGCAAGGAGGCTGAAGAAGAAGAAATCCAGCTGCTGCCGAAGAAAGAAGACATTCCAGATAAGGATCCGGATGAAGACGAACGTGAAAGTGATCCCGAAGACTACTATGAAGCGGATAGTGGAGAGGAAGGTGCAAGTTCAACCCTTCGGCGAACAGAACGGTCGACTCGAGGTGTGCGTCCGAAGTACCTTGATGATTTCCAGCTGGAGTATGCTGCAGGCGTAGCAGCGTGTGCAGTTGAAGAACCTGTTAACTTGAAGGATGCCATGGAAGAACCTGTGTGGCGCAAGGCGATGCAAGAGGAGTTGGACGCTCATCAGCGTAACGGAACGTGGCGGTTAGTGCCGCTGCCGGAAGGACGCAAGGTCATTGGATCCAAATGGGTCTACAAGGCGAAGCGAGATGAAAACAACCGCATAGTTAAGTTCAAAGCTAGATTGGTGGCTCAGGGCTATGCGCAACGGTTTGGAGTTGATGTTGGTGAAGTTTTTGCTCCCGTGACCAGTCAAGCAACTTTCCGGACGTTTCTGACAGTGGCAGCGAAGCGCAATATGTTCGTTAAACATCTGGACATCAAGACAGCGTATTTGCATGGAATCCTCGAAGAAGAAGTCTACATGCGCCAACCTCCGGGCTTCGTTTCTCCCGGAAAGGAAAAGCTTGTTTGCCGTCTTCAACGAAGCATATATGGTTTGCGTCAGTCGGCTCGCTGTTGGAATAAAAGACTACATGAAGTGCTCGTGAAGAACGGATTCAAGGCAGCAACGGCAGATCCCTGTTTGTATGTGAAGGATGGCGGGAAGGCTAGAGTACTTCTGTTGGTATACGTTGATGACCTGTTGTTAGCGTCTACGGATGAAAGCGAGATGACGAAGATCCAGGATCGCCTGAATGCGGAGTTCGAGTTGACCAGCCTCGGGGAAGTGCGGCATTTCCTGGGAGTTGAAGTGAAGCGTGAAGGAGATACGTTCAAGGTGAGCTTGCGCAATTATATTGAAAAACTGCTGAAGGAACACGGAATGGAAGAAGCAAAAGCAGCGAAGTCGCCGATGGATCCTGGATACTTGAAGATGGTGGATTCAGGAAAAGCGTTCGACGATCCGACGAATTACAGAAGCCTGGTTGGTGGATTTCTCTATCTGGCCGTTGTTGCATGACCGGATATTGCCGCCAGTGCAGCCATTCTGGGAAGGAAGTTCAGTGAACCGACGGATTGTGATTGGACAGCAGCGAAGCGTGTACTACGGTTCTTGAAAGGCACGAAGGACTATCAACTGCAGTTGGGCGGAACTGGTGATCAACCTCTGTTTGGTTTCTCTGATGCAGATTGGGCAGGTGACGTCTGCAGTCGTCGTTCTACTTCCGGAGCGGTGTTCGTGTTCGGTGGAGCTACAATTTCGTGGAAAAGCCGTCGTCAATCTTGCGTGACCCTTTCGTCCATGGAAGCCGAATACGTAGCGCTCAGCGAGGCGTGTCAAGAAGCGTTGTGGCTCAGGCAGCTGCTCAAGGATCTTGGCGAGCAACAGGATCAGCCCACGGTTCTCAAGGAGGACAATCAGGGATGTTTGGCGTTTGTGCGGTCGGAGAGGACAAGCAGACGGTCCAAGCATATCGACACCCGAGAGCGATTCGTCCAGGAGCTGTGTGAAACAAAGAAGATACGGCTGGAGTATTGTCCGACGGAGAATATGACAGCCGACATCATGACGAAGCCTCTAGGACCACAAAAGCACCGAGAATTCTGCGTATTGCTCGGGCTAAAGGAAGAGATTACACATTGAGGGGGAGTGTGGAAGGGTGCAATGCTTACCTCTTCTCTAATTTACTTTGCTACTTTTCTGCATACCTGACGTAGCTTACCTACTATTCTAGCTATTTTGGACTGTGTTTTTGACAGCTTATGTTTTATGTTCTTCCGACTATTATTTTTTGTACCGCGAGCAGAAGTAAATAAAAAGTCCATTTTATAGTTTGTGATAATCGCGTGTTTTTCTCCGGGTTTTTCGTTCCGAAAGTCCTATCGCGGGGTGATATTCGCTGTGCTGGCCTCCGGACTCTGCCGTCAAGACTTAGGTATAAATCAAACTCATCCGCGCATATGCGTAGGTACATACTTACGCATATGCTTCTATAATCGTCATAACCCATGTACTTACTTTAGAATAAAGCATAAACGAATGTAGTTTTACGTTCATCCAACAGTAAACTTTATGATAATGATGACTTCTTTTTGTACAAAAGCTTAAGCCCTTTTTAAAAGTTGGTCATGAAATATTAGAAAATGTTCTTTAACAATATATTGCGACTATACCAACCAAATATAACTCCAAAAGTTGCAAAATAATTGTTGAAAAGTTTGTTTCCAAGCCGGCTCTTGTACAATTTGAAATCTCCCATAATAACCGAAAATTTTCAAATCGCTTATATTTCCAATGGGGCAGGTTGGGGCAGGCAAACTCTTCAGTACTTGTTAGAGTACACTCAAAACTTCATCCAGAGCTGAAAATTAGCCTGGGAATGTGCGAGACTCGAAAGTTTGTGATCAATAAAGTTAAATTTTCATTAATTTTCAATTATTTTTTTTTCTATTTTTATTTTTAAATTTTTTTTGTCTCCATCAAATTTCCAAATGGATTTTATTTTTGGAAAGCTTATTAAATTACCTTTCCAACGATGTATAATGATATGGTAGTTATATGATAAATAGTGGATGACATTTTATTTGAATGGTAGTGTATTTTTGCGGCAAAATTTGTACTTTTCTTACTCTTTTTTGACTTCGACATCCGATATCTCAGAAACTAAAACTGCTAGAAACTTGAAACTTTCAGATTCTCTTAGTTGAAATGTTTACTATCGACCAAAAATAACGAAATAAGGATTAGTGAAAGTCGATTTTTTTTTATTTTTGACCGCCTGATATCTGATAGTGCGCTGTACCGAGTTGTGTGCGGAGTATGATTTTGTTGCTCTTTGCATAATTTGAGGAGCATTCCATCCCTGTCTCCCACCGTGAGATTATGAGAGGGAAGAACCATTATTTCTGTGCCTCTCTGGAAGTGAACTTCTATGCAAAGGGACCATGCACTTATTACGTAATATTTTTCGTAAGGTATTTCTGAGATTCCCTTCCTCGAACGTAAGAAATCGTAAGAACATTCATGAATACCTTACGTAATAAGTGCATGGTCCCAAAGCATTTGATCATGACAAGGAGTTCATCATTCCGAAAAACCATTTTCTTACTTGAAATGATCATGTGCAACCTTCATCCCAAATATATTCCTTTTGTGCTCCCAAAACCCGCCATACACCTACCTTAGATAGTCGAAGTCGTGGAACAAATCGTCAGCCAGATGGGTCAAATTGTTCCCGGAAAGATCCAGCACCTGCAGCGAAGTTTCCAATCCGGCGAACGCGTCCGGCGAGATGAAGTCCAAACCGCAGTGTCGAATGTAAAGCTCGCGGATCTTGGCCTGCCGGAAGGCGTTGTCATCGATGTGATTGATCGGATTACCGTCCAGGAAGGTCGAGTTGATGGTGTCGAAGAACCTGAACGATTCGGACGGTATTTCCTCGATCGAGTTGTACTGCAACTGTAGGACGTCCAGGGTCAGCTTGTAGTTCACTTTGACGTCGTCCTCGTCGGGGCTGAGCGTCCGGATCAGATTGTGGGACAAATCCAGAGCACGAAGTAGCCGAAGCGGTTGAAGGGCACCGTACGGGATGTCGGTGAGGAGATTATTGCCCAGGAAGACTTTGGAAAGTTTATCAAGGCCGTCTTTGAATGCGGCGGAGTCCACCTGGGCCAAGTTGTTCCCACTGAGGTCGATGCTATCCAGGTTAGGTAGACCGCTAACACTGCCCGGTAGAAACTGTGAGATTGAGTTGTCGGCCAAAATCAGCGTCTGAAGGGATTTTTCCAAGCCTCGGAACGCACCGGACTCGACGGTGGAAATTTCGTTGCCTCGTAAATCCAACAGGCGTAATTTCTTCATGTCCCGAATTGCTCGCGATGGCACCTCTATGAGCTCATTGTTCTCCAGGACCAGTTCCCAGAGGGATCGTTCCAAGCCGTAGAAGGCTTCATCGGGTATTTCCGTGATCGGATTGTTTGACACGTCCAGTTTGTACAACCCGGTAGCTTGGAAGAAGTATGGTTCCAACTCGCGAAGCCCGGTGTCGTCCATGTGCAGCATGAACAGCTTGGAACCGTTGATGATCTTCGGTATCGCAGGAAAGTGCACATGGCGACAGTCCACGACGCCCAGATCCGGAGCGCTTTTGGAGCATGTGCAAAGGGCGTTGAACGAGCAGGGTGGATGCTGTGAAATGTCGATCTCCCGTGCCCTGGCTAGCGAAGCCCAGATCATCAGCCCCACCGTCACGAACACCAAGGTGTAACCGAGCTTGATCAGGTACTCGAGGCCTCCGTTACTCTGAAAGTAAATTAAATGAAAATCAGCTAATTGTTTGCAGGCATGAGATCGATGGAAACTTGAGGTCACCCGTCAACGACCAGTGATTAGCCGAATTAATTCCTTATCCTGTCGCCACTCGGAGAAATTAGTCCCTTCTTATCGCTGTCAGTGTTTTTTTTTGCTATCACATTCGATTCGAGCGTTGGGCTTAATTTAATTATATTGGTTCGGTGGGAGAGGGAACAGAAGGAGTCGGATGGCATATTTTTCTTCGCAGCAGGATAAGGTGTAGCCAATTAAGGCGCCAATGGTGGAGGCGGTCTGTTTGGAAAGCAGGAAAGCTAGCTGCTGGCTCTATATCCGCTAGAGAGGCCAGGCTGATGGACTAGAGACCGGAATGAACGAAGGGGAAGTTTGTTTTATGTCATCGCACGATCAAATTAGTTTTGCTCATCGTTTTAGCCACGTGGGGTCTATCTATCGATTGTTGAGGACACGCCTTGGTTTGGAGAAGGATAGAAGAACGAGTCTTCGCGCCATGGGAGCTGAGCCAGGATATGATAGTGGCAATTTATCGCTCTGTAATTCCGTTTTGATGAACGGAACGGCGAAAAGACTTCTTTTTTTTCTAGACGGGGGTGGAGTTTGCACAAAGCACTAATGCGTCCACTATCACGATGCTTTTGAATAGACATTATTTGATCGAAGGATCCCAAATGGTCGATGGTTATTCAGTATCAATACTGAATGGTTTCTAATTAAGTCCACGATCATCCATCATAGCTTCAAGTTCCAAACCGCAAAATATCTTTTAAATTACATCCGTCCAATGAATGGAACTATAGCAATTGACTTTTACGCTCATCAGAATCCATTAAACGAAATATTTCAGATTGCACTCGTGCAGCTATTCACCTTTTCCACTAACAATCGTACCCATGCACCTACCTACATACCTTAAAACTCATTCTTAAACCAGTAATGGCCATCGGGGAACATCACGGTGTAGAATTTTTATTGGTTCGTTGAATTCCGTGCATTAGTCAATTTTACGATGAGGTAATGGTCGCCGAGAATTAGCCGCGTTGTCAGACAATCATGAGGGTGATTCGGACGAGCAAGGTACTGTCTCTGAGCTATCGGTGGAATGAATGGTCATTATAACAAAACTTCCAATGCTTTTCACTGGAACCAGATGCCGGAATTTTCCTATGGGTACATACAACAAAATATCAAATTTACAGAGCGGAAAATGGGAAAATGGGTAAATTATACGCCGGAAGCGGGTCAACGTGGAGTGGTGGCGGCGGAAAGCCTCTGGCTCTAGCATTTGTCCTCCCCGGTCGTGATTGACGGACAGACGAACGGGGAGTCCTTCACTATATCCACCCGATAAAGGCTGGTCTCGACGAAATCGAGTCACTAATTTTTCGCTAACACTCTTTGCCACATACTAAGTGTTCGGTATTTGTTTTACCGAAATCTCAACAACTGAACGTTCGGTAAAATTTTGACCTTCATTTTAAAGCACGTTGCATTTAGCTCAAACATAATTTCAAAATTCGTTCAATCTTGCTTCAATGATTAAATCTTCAGGGTTATTCTGCGTGGCGAATCAGGTGAGACGACAATTGTCACTTCGCAGTCACATGACTCTTCTCACTCTATTCCGACAGTCGACTCGGGTGACGTGAGAGGTTCATTCTTAGGTGAGTTGCAAAGTGACTCGGTGTTCATTCGCCGAAATGTCAGTTTGCTTTGTTTTCCGAAGAGGGCCTACGCAGTTTTTGTAGGTTCATTTATCAGTTTAATCGCAGGTTTTTATTTTTTACTATGAACATGCGTTTCGAGCCGTATTTCATGTCAAACAAGGTAGATTAAAATATTTTATTATTTTCTTAAACATAATCCGCGTTCACATGCTCGAAATCATGCATAAAAACATCATTCAAATGGATTGAAAATGTTCGGCCTGTGCTAGGCCCTTTCAGTTTTGGCTGTTTGTTGTTTTCGATTGCGGAGGAAGATTTTTTTTCCAATCGTGGTTTTTTTTTTTATTAGGTTCCAGGTTCCAGTGTATTCCTCCATTTACGAACCACACCGGCGGTTCGTAAATCGAAACAGACGTAAAAAAACATTATTTGCGATTTATTTCCAAAAAAGTTTTTGGAAAATTTTGTCGAATACCGCACAAAATGGGTATTTTTTGGTATCTGGGTGACGTACGGGGACCGGAAATCAATGCCTGACGTTATTTTTATTTCAATATGGCGGCTTCCGGTTAGAGAAAAGCTGGGAAGTACTGCAAAATTACCAACAACATGGGTATTTTTGGAATCTTGGTGACGTGTAGGGACTGGAAATCGATATCTGAAGCCTTTTTGAAATTCAATATGGGTACTTCCGGTGCGAGAAAAACTTGTAAATTCTGTCAAATACTCCTCAATATGGGTATTTTTGGAGTCAGGGTGACGTTTGAGGACCGGAAATCGATGTCTGACGGCATTTTGACATTCAAGATGGCGGCTTCTGGTTAAAGAAAAACTTGGAAATTCGGTCAAGTACCCCTCAATATGGGTATTTTTGGAATCCGGGTGACGTGTAGGGACCGGAAAACCATGTCTGACGTCCTTCTGAAACTCAATATGGTGGCTTCCGGTTAGTGAAAAACTGGGAAATACTGCCAAATTACCCACAATTTTGTTATTTTTGGAGACGGGGTGCTGTGTACGGACCCTAAATCGATGTCTGAGGCCATTTTGAAATTCAATATGGCGGCTTCCGGTATGAGAAAAACTTGGAAATTCTGTGAAATACCTCTCAATATGAGTATTTTTGAAGTCTTGATGACGTGTAGGGACCGGAAATCGATGTCTAACGCTTTTTTGAAATCCAATATGACGGCTTCCGGTGCGAGAAAAACTGGGCAATACTGCAAATTACCCACAATATTGGGTATTTTTAAAATCTTGGTGACGTGTAGGGACCAAAAAAAATGTCTGACGCGTTTTTGAAATTCAAGATGGCGGCTTCCGGTAAGAGAAAAACTTGGAAAAAATACCAAACTACCCACAATATGGGTATTTTTGGAATCGGGATGACGTGTAGGGACCGGACATCGATGTCTGAGGCCATTTTGAAATTCAAGATGATGGCTTCCGGTTAGAGAAAACTTGGGAATTCTGTCAAATACCTCACCATAGTGCTATTTTTGTAGACGGGGTGCTGTGTACGGACCCTAAATCGATGTCTGAGGCCATTTTGAAATTCAATATGGTGGCTTCCGGTGCGAGAAAAACTTGGAATTCCGGGAAATACCTCTCAATATGAGTATTTTTGGAGTCTTGATGACGTGTAGGGCTTGGAAATCGATGTCTGAAGCCATTTTGAATTTAAGATGGTGGCTTCCGGTTAGAGAAAAACTTAGAAATTTTCTCAAATATCGCACCATATGGGTATTTTTGGAGTTGGGGTTACTTGTAATGTGTGTATTTTTGGAATCTTGGTGAAGTGTAAGGACTGGAAACCCATGTCTGATACCATTTTGAATTCCATATGCCAGCTTTCGGTTAGAGAAAAGCTGGGAGCTACTGCCAAATTATCCACATTATGGGTATTTTTGGAGTCTTGATGACGTGTAGGGACCGGACATCGATGTCTGACGCCGTTTTGAAATTCAAGATGGCTGCTTACGGCAAGAGAAAAACTTGTAAATTCTCTCAAATACCTCACAATATTTGTATTTTTAGAGTCGGATTGACGTGTAAGGACCTAAAATCGATGTCTGAGGCCATTTTAAAATTAAAGATGGCGGCTTCCAGTTAGAGATTAAATTGAAAATTCTGTCAAACACCCCTTATCTAGGGGTATTTTTGGAATCGGGGTGACGACCAGAAATTCATGCCTGGCGCCATTTTGATATCCAAGATAACGGCTTCCGTTTAAATAAAACTGGGATATTGTCAAATACACCACATTATGAGTACACCCGATTCCAAAAATATTCATATTGTGGTGTATTTGACAGTGTTTTCAAGTTTGTCTTCTGTCGGAAGCCACCAGATTGAATTCAAAATGGCCTGAGACATCGATTTCCGGACCCTACACGTCACCAAGATTCCAAAAATACTCATACTTTGGGTAAGTTGGCAGTAATTCCCAGTTTTTCTCGCACCGGAAGCCGCCATATTGAATTCAAAATTGCGTCAAACATCGATTTCCGGTCCCTACACGTCACCCCAATTCTGAAAATACCCATATTGAGAGGTATTTGACAGAATTTCCAAGTGTTTTTTCGAACCGGAAGCAGCCATCTTGAATTTCAAAATAGCCTCAGACATCGGTTTCCGAACCCTTCACCACAGACAAACAGACGTAACTCTTTGAAAAAGTTTTTCTTGAAAACATAGTATCTCAAAACATAGGACCTCAGTAGCGACATCTCTAGGGCTTCTCGCGGAAAACAAGCTTGCTCGCTAACTCGCAAACAATATTGCATAAAAGTTTTATAGAGTGTATAGAAACGTCAAAGTGATCCGATGCCAGCGCTGCGGCGAGTAGTTCGCGGAACTGATAATATTCAAATCAACCGTTAAATGCGTGAACGAAGATACACAATGAAGTGTTACGTCTGTTTGTCTGTGCCTTCACGTTACCAAGATTCCAAAGATACTCATATTGTGGGTAATTTGGCAGTAATTTCCAGTTTTTCTCGCACCGGAAGACGCCATATCGAATTCAAAATGGCGTCAGACATCGATTTCCGGTCCCTACACGTCACCAATATTCCAAAAATACTCATACTTTGGGTAATTTGGCATACACGTCACCCCAATTACAAAAATACCCATATTAAGGGATATTTGACAGAATTTTCAAGTTTTTCTCCAACCGGAAGCCACCATCTTGAATTTCAAATTGACCTCAGACATCGATTTCCGGTCCCTACACGTCATCCCGACTCCAAAAATACCAGTTTTGTGGGGTACTTGGCAGAATTTCCAAATTTTTCTCCAACC